AAAAAAAAAAAGGGGGGGAGAAAAAAAGAAAAATGGTCTGGTTACTTTATATGCTCAGTTGTTTGCATGAACTGCTTTCTTTACTTTTTTAACCTAAGTGTGTTCCATAGACTGTCTCCTAACCTCTGATTTGTGGATTTATGGATTGTATATGAATTTTTTTTAAATATGTAAGAAAATATATAAAGTCAGAGTACAGATACTCTGTAATGCTATTGAACTTCACATGTGCCATGTTTTGCCTATATATCTAGATCTACATCTAGTTTTTTGTTTGTTTTAAGGAATGTGAGCCAAAGTTTTATTTGTTCATTTCTTACATTTGAAGTACTCTGCAACGACTTCCTTGGCCTGAGATTCTTTGCTATAGAATTACATGCAGTTTCTTATTAACATTTAGAAATTCATGAAATTCTTAATACTAGTCATAGGGAAGCTTTAATAATTATGTCTTTAAAATGTGATTCCCATAGGCTTAGCTCCTGTAGCATAGTGGTTACGGTGCCAGCCACATACACGAAGGTTGGCAGGTTTGAACCTGAGCTGGGCCAACTAAATAGCAGTGACAGCTGTAACAAAAAATAGCTGGGTGTTATGGCAGGCACGTGGAGTCCCAGCTACTTGGGAGGCTGAGGTAAGAGAATCACTTAAGCCCAAGGGTTTGAGGTTGCTGTAAGCTGTGATGCTAGGGCACTCTACCGAGTCTCACTCAACAAACTGAGACTCTGATACAAAAAAAAAAAAGATTCCCATAATTAAAATTTGTTGTAGCCATTTTCAGGAATCTTTACTTTAATTTCCTTCAGCCTCCTAACATGACTTTACTATTGCCAGCTTTTTAAAACTTTCTGCAGAAACACTTTCACCTAATCACATTGATTGGCTGGCTTTAGATCTTTGAATTTTTTAAATTAAAGCAATTTGCCTATTGACTGAAAATAAGTTAAATGGAAAGAAAAGTGATAACTGGCAGAATACACCAGTCCTGAAAGGGACATGGCATAGAATGCAGGTTCAGTCTAGTCAGGGAGAGAGATCTGTGACATCAAGGTGACATCTCTGGTAGTGAGTAGAAGCCAGGGTGAGGCCAGGGAAGAAGCTGCTGGGGAGGAGGCAGCAGGGTGGAAAGGGAAGAGGCCACCCAGTTCACTAGCTTTCACCTTGGGACAGCTTTAAACATCTTTCTGGGCTTCATCTCAGAAAGGAAGATGCCGCGGTGGTGGTGCTGATCCCCCGAGCTGCTTCCCACCTACGATGCCCAGTGTGGGCCCTGACCCTGCAAAGTGCTCGGGCTTGCTGAGTGGTCTGCACTGTGTGCTGGCAGTGGACTGCAGTCTGCATGAAGGGGACCACAGCGGGGAGGGCCCTGAGCTGGGCTTTTGCAGACGGAGTTGGCCAGACGGGAGCCAGAAGGAGGAAGCATGCATGGTCAGTGTGTACAGTGCATCCCAGAGGGACCGAGGAGACTATCTCAGATGACTTTTAAATCTGTGTACGGGGACAAGACCTCAGTCTTTTTAGGATGTTTTGATCTTTTCCAGTTTAGTATCAGTATCTAGACAAGAGCAGGAGTGAGAACCCTACTTCAGCAGCTTGCATGCCTCCTGGGGAGTGTTGTGTGTTCTTCAGGTTCTCATCTTTCTCCTTAACTTTTCCTGCTCCCTTCCTTCTCTTTCATCTTAATGATCTTATTCTCACCCCACCCGCAATAACTTAAACTTATCCACATCTGCATCTCAGTTGGGCCAGCAACACCCAGTGCTGCTTGTTATACACCTATTCTTGGGTGTTGGGTTTGAGGGACTTAGTTGATGGAATACCTGTCTCATTTACAGGTCTTGGGTGTAAGACCACGTCTTTGAGACGTGTCATCCTTAGTTTTAAAAACTAATTCCAGTCATGTCCACTGTGTGGTGCTCTTGCATCAGGAACAAATTCTGAAACTAGTTGTATAGGAGTTCAAAAACATTTACAAGTCCAGAATGACAAAAATAGAAAATGGAGTGTGTTAATTTGCTGTAGTTTGGGTTTCTGTGAGTAACGACTTCTGGAGTCACATTAATCATGCAACAATTTATTTTAACTTTTGAGAAAATTTACTGGAGGATAAACATTGATTTGGACCCCAAGATAGGGAGTGGAGAAAAGGGTATGGAAATCTCCTGATCTACTCCCTGTCAGAGGAGAATCTGCCTGGAGAGGTTCCCACCTTCTCCATGTGTTGTGGAGGCGCTGACTTGAGGGCAGGGGGGGCTAACCTGCTACATCAGAAATGGTTCTTCAAAATTCTCAGGGGCGGGCCAGGCGCAGTGGCTCACGCCTATAATCCTAGCACTCTGGGAAGCTGAGGTAAGTGGATTGCCCTGAGTTCCAGCCTGAGCCAGAGTGAGACCTTGTCTCTAAAAATAGCCAAGTGTTGTGATGGGCACCTGTAGTCTCAGTTACTTGGGAGGCTGAGACAAGAGAATCTCTAAAGTCCAAGAGTTGGAGGTTGCTGTGAACTATGACACCACAGCACTCAACCGAGGGCAACAAAATGAGACTGTCTCAAAAAAAAAATTCTCAGGGACAGGTGGTGGCTTGAGAACACAGAGAACAACATTTTAAACCACAGGTTGACAGCATGAAAGTCCCGTGTGGACAGTTTTCTCCAGCGTTGTTTTGTGATTGCCTAGTGGAAGGCATCTCTGTTGCAGAAAGAATTGGGCTTTCCTTTGCCCTCGTGGAAATAGAAACACTTAGGTTGTTCTCCTGGGAAGTTTTGTCTACATCTATGAATGAGGGGTACGTTTGTTAGTGTTTTGTTCTCAGCCTGTTAGCAAAGCTTATCACTTTCATCTTAGTTTTAACCTGGGCATGTAAAGATAAGAATCTATACAGTGGAACCTCTGTAAGTTGACACCCAAAGGACTGTAACAAAGAAACTGGTTAATACATGGAGGTGGTCAATGTAAGTAACTGGGCCTACTGTACTGAGTACATGTGGTCTATGTAGGGAGGAGGTCAACTATGGAGTTTCTATTGTATTGTATTTAAATAGTAAAAAGCACTCGAGTTGATGATGGTCACCACCCAGAAGAGATATAGGAATTATTGTAAATTATAAATTATTTCCTAAGGACTGGACCCAATATGATTCTATAACCAGAAGAACAAGCTGGGAAAAAATTAAGATGTTTTAATCTGGATGGCCGGGCACAGTGGCTATGCTTGTAATCCTAGCACTCTGGAAGGCTGAGGCTGGTATATTGCCTGAGCTCACGAGTTCGAGACTAGCCTGAGCCAGAGCAAGACCCCCATCTCTAAAAATAGCTGGGCATTGTGGTGGGCGCTTGTTGTCCCACCTACTTGGGAGGCTGAGGCAAGAGAATTGCTTAAGACCCAGGAGTTTGAGGTTGCTGTGAACTGTGATGCCACAGCACTCTACTGAGGGCAACAAAGTGAGACTCTGTCTCAAAAAAAAAAAAAAAAGAAATTAAGGCATTTTAACTGGATAAATAGGGATTGAGAGAGAACATCATTGGACAATTTTATAATCATAAAATGTGTGGATTAGAGGAACACTGGTTTCGTCAAATATTAGAATAGAGGGTATTATAGGTTACCCTAGAGACGGTATCAACATAAATACAGGTGAATTCCTAGAAGTTTGTCCTGAGTTGTGAGTCAGCTACACAAAGAGCTATACTGTTGGTAACTTTGAAAAATGATGTCAGGAGAGATGGCCACTGCCTCTTAAACTTGTCCCAGCTGACGTTAAATAGAGATTCTGGAAGGGAAAGTAAACAAAGGTTGAGAGTTGCCATCTGTTCTTCCCTTTTAAGGTCTGTTATTCTTATGACCTAAGGTAATTTTAAAATATACTCTTTATTATCTCTTTTTAAAAGTTTCTCATTTAAAAGATATTTGAGTAATTAAGAACTTTGGTATTTTCACTTTTGATGCCTGTTGCTGATAGTCCCTTCTCTTCCCTTTGCAGGTTTTCATCTCTGTGAACTGCTTAAGCACAGATTTCTCCTCTCAGAAGGGCGTGAAGGGGTTGCCTCTGAACATTCAGATTGACACCTACAGTTACAACAACCGCAGCAACAAGCCAGTGCACCGGGCCTACTGCCAGATAAAGGTCTTCTGTGACAAGGTGAGACGGGGCAGGGATGTGTAGAGTAAAGGGTTTGAAACATACTCTTCCTCACAGAAAAAGACCAGGGCCTCTGATATTTAACATCAAAATGACAGTATTGCTGCTTGTATAAAATAGTTTATTTTAAATGAGCAATTATTGCTTTAGCCTTGCAAAGACACATTAAATAGAGATGAAAAATTACATTTTCGGGTGGTGCCTATGGCCCAAGGAATAGGGCACCAGCCCCATATACCGGAGGTGGTGGGTTCAAACCTGGCCCTGGCCCCCCAAAAAAATAAATAAAAAATTGCATTTTAACTGAAAGATTAGAAGGGTTGGTAAATATGTTTTGCTGAATGGGTCTTGTAAGGGCACTGTGCACACAGGTTGCAGAATCTGTCGGCACGTAAAGATAAGAATGATGATCGGTGATGTGCTCAGCTGGCCAGATCCATGCAGTCTGGACAGTCCAGTGTATTTTGAGGGCTGTGAGAACTGGGAAGCAGCTGTGGATTGGCCCATTGAACTAAGATTGAACAGGATTTTAACTTTTCCTACTCAAAAATATTGGACTTGTTTGTTTATTTTTATGGCTGGGTATACTAGTTTCCTGTTGTTGTTGTTAGCAAATTACCCCAAACTTAGTGGCTTAAAATAATACTAATTTATTACCTTACATTGTGTAGGTGCAGAGGCCTGACATGGGTCTCATTGGGCTAAACTCAAGGTGTGGACAGGTTGCATCCTTCCTGAGGCTCCAGAGCAGTGGTTCTCAACCTGTGGGCTGCGACCCCCAGGAACTGTATTAAAGGACCGTGGCATTAGGAAGGTTGAGAACCAATGCTCTAGTGGGAAGTCAGCAGCCTTGCCTTCTCCACCTTCCCACAGCTGCCCACAGTCCTGAGCTTGTGGCTTCTTCCATCTCAGAGCCACATTGGCTGGTCAGGTCTCATGTCACATTGCCCAGTGTCTGTACTCTCTCTGACATCCTCTCTCTGACTCTCCTGCTCCCTCTGCTGCTTTGAAGGGCCTTGTGATTATTACCTTGGGCATGCATAAACGACCTAGGATAGTCTCCCTGGCTCCCAGTCAGCTGATTAGTGGCCTTACTCCCTGTTGCCTTGGAAATGACCTGTTTCCAGGCTCTAGATCAGGAGTTGAGCATCACTGGAGGCCCCAGGAGCTTCCATGGTGATGACTCACAGCCGGCAGGGAGTGGGGATTGCTGGCCTGCTCAGATTTCTTCCCTTCTCACTGCAGTCCTCTTTCCAGGCAGAAGAGAACCTGAAGAGAAACTTTCGAATATCCATGTTCTTTTTCTACAAATCTAGGGATAAATTAAAGTTAATAGTTCAATTAAAATTTTTTTTTTCACATCTGCTGTTTTTAAAAAACTGCCATGTCTTTGTATTAATTTTCCTTGGCATTCTTTAGGATTACTAAGTTCACTTTTTGAACTACGGAAATGACTGGTTTTCATCAGAGCAGGTGGCCAACAAGTTGATCCCTGCCATAGGTACCTGCACCAGTGCCACCTCCAGGGCCCAGGTGTGGGACATTCCATCTGAGATGGCACTGTCAAAAGATGCTTACCAGAGGGCAGTTCCCGCATCAGGGACTTCCTCTGTTCAGTACCATCACCTCTCAGGGCACCTCTTCACTTGTCAATGGGGAAAGACCACATTTTCCATTTCTAATCTGTCATGAACTTCTGTAAAATACAGTGAAAATTTAGATGAATTGCTAGAAGAGCAAAATGGCACATAG